CCCCCAAGACATGCTGACCATCCAGGCTGGGAGGTGGCGGGTGTAATAAACATGGGACCTCACTAGGCTTGTCTTAGGCAGCTGCAAGACGAGATCTCCACACCTGCCCGCCAGAATCTTAAGGGTTTCCTCTCAGGTTTTAACAGGATTGGTTTAGTTCAGATGATATCACCAACACCTCACTCTCTCAACCTGGGTCCTAGAAACGGCTCCCACTGTGGAAACAGTTGGAGGAACATAGATTCCAAGGACGGGGAGGGGGCGAGGAGACTCCTATTGCCTGGTCCAGCTGGTGGTTCAACAGGCGGTCCAGTCCTCTCTGTGAACTCCTCCCGAACAGTGGCTGGTGGGCTGACTCAACTAACCACTGCTGGGTGGGAAGAGATTGGAAGTGAATGTCCTGCAGGCATCCTTGCTGATGGTGTGTGTGTGTGTGTGTGTGTGTGTGTGTGTGTGTGTGTGTGTGTTGATGTGTGTACCTGTGGATAAACAGTACCTTTTCAGGATATCTTCTTATTGTAGTGGCTTAAGTCCTAATTAACCACTCTGAAGCCTTAAGACAGCTTCTTGTCTATTATTAGGGAGAAATACCTACCCCGGGAGCATAGCTGGTGCACACAACCTGCATTCCCTTTCACTTAGGCCACATTCCATTTGCTAAGACCAGTCACTTTCCCCTCTGGACTTGCCCAGGACCCAGACTCGCCCAGATAATTCCCTCTGGAAAAAGCCTGCCTAGAGTTCTTTACAATCTCTGACTCCCCATCCCTGGGTGCTGGTGCCGTTTTGGGGTTCAGCCCATCTGGTTTTCAAATGATCTGATACATTTATAGTCCCTTACCACTTTCAGCCTGGTGCATTCCTCTGGTGACCCGAACAATCCCCCAACAGAAACAGCCAATCCCTTCTGAGAGCCGGGCCTTGGAAACCAGGTACAATCTTCCTTTCCATTTCCTGCAGGTGGCTGTTGTGTGAGGTTTCTATTTATTTGTGCTTAGTGTGAACTACTGAGGTTCTCTGGGCCCAGTGACAAGAAAATGAGGGAACGGAGTAGAGGATATGGTAAGAACAGGAGGGTATAATTGCTTTCGTAAAATTATCAGCACAAAAATAATCTATTTGCAGGACTAGCAAACAACACAGCATGTATGCATGGCTCCTTTCATTTAAGAAGTCATGGACCTGCTGACGAATTCTAACATGGGACATTTTAGAGAGAAAAATATTACTGGGGCATTTCCCTCTCATTCTAAGGCTTAGCTTAATGTGGTCTATTTGGCCTCTTGGAATGGGAATTAATTATTCATTATTTTTCTCTCCTATTACAAACTTTCTAGGTACATTTGGAAGGGAAAGGTGAGTGGCCTCTTTTTAAGAGTTCCTATGTGTATTTTTAGTTTCTTTGCTGGATCTGTGCTATTTTCTAAAATTTCTCTTAGAATCAGTGGCTACAACTACTTTGCTACCTGCCTCCCTGAATTCCGCCCCCCCCCCCCCCCCCCCAGTTTGCTATAACTTTTCCCCTCTTATTTCCTTGTTTTCTCGGGATATATGTTGTCAAATCATCTGGCTCATTCATGTTAATCACTTTGTTGCCAACATACAGAAATGCAAAATTCAGAAGAGAATCTTAGCCAACATACAGAGATGCAAAATTCAGAAGAGAATCTTAAACAGCAAGGATACCCGCAGGAGTTTTAAACATGACACGTTCTTGAAAATATGGGACAAGGTTTATTTTAACCATCATTAGCATCCTTTTTATGTAGTCTTAGCACTGAATAAATTATGCAAGCATCACAAAGATAATCAGACAAAGAAAAAACACCCAGCTGTAGCACTAATTTGTATGTGTATGCCAGTGTCAACTCCTGAGACATTATTCCTTTGTCAGTAATAGTTGGGAGGTCGGAGGTGAAAAAGACAAATGAGAGCAATTAGTTGTGTTTTTATGCAAAAACAGTTTAGTGTAGCACTTTTTTCCTTAGTCATTTTAACCAAGAGAGAAAGAAAAGATTTCACATAAAGGTGGGTAGGAAGATTTATCAATTAAATAGAAATGATAAGGTTGCAAACCACATAGAACAAATGTAGTTTAGCTTTTCCATGTCCTGGTTGTCAACAGCTTTTTCTATGTCAACAGATCCTGACAGGAATTAGGATTTGGGGGAGGAGGGAGGACTCTTGCAGACTGCTTCTGGAAGCATAGCCACACTGGTTTGGATGCTAGGATGTCTGGCTCCTCAGTTCCTCTGCCCTGAATTCTCTCCTCCAGCTGTGGAGTCTAGCGAACATTTTAGCATCCTGTACCCTCTGGCTTGTACCCAGTGTTAAATAAAGGCCAGGTTACACAGTACAGCATCATTTCTTTTTGCAAAGCTCCTCCACTAGGGCCATGAGGAAGGACTGACACCTGGAAAAGATAGTTTTTCTTTTGTAAACAAATAAAGAAAAACCCCAATGGTTTCTACATTGCTTCTCATTGTCAGCCAGGCCACTTTCTGTGGGGTTGTCAGAGGGATTCTCTTCAAAGGCACGTGAAAAACCCCAGAGACTCTGCATTGCCTTCATGAGTGGATCATTCAAAAAATGTGCACCTCTACCTGCACCTTCACACCTCTCTCTCTCTCTCTCTCTCTTTTGGATCTCCCAAAACAGACTACTGCCTCCTCCCCCAGCCCCTTCTCTACTTCTCTCCTCCTCAAATCCAGGGCTGACTCACCTACTCCAAAGAGCCTCCTGAAACCCGACTCCTCCCCTCCGTCCCTAATTTCAGGTGCATGATATAAGTAAGGACTGGGCACAGAGGGATCATTTCTATGACAGGCTTTCTCACAATTGTTATTGGCCCCTCCTTGGGATGGGAGCTTCTGGTGGGTGGAAGCCACATCCACAGAGCTTAGCAATGCGTTGGGAACATAGTAGGTGCTCAATAAACCTGGATCAAGTCAAGGAGTAAACTTTCTAAGGTGTTACATACATACAGTAAAGTGCACACATCTGCAGTATGTACACAGAGATAAACGTATACAATGACCACCCAGAGGAACATTATAGAACTTTTCCCAGAGACTCCCTTACCAATGGGCTTTTTAATTGTTCTGGAGACTTCAGGAGGATGTAAGATGCCCTGATTCATCACAGGTAGAACCCCCAGGATGGAGGGAGGGGCATTTTATTCTAGAGAAAAGCATGGACAGGGGGATTGGAACCTGGACAAGCCACTACTCTCCTGTCTCCTTTCCAATCCCAGCTGTCAGAGTCCCACACGAAAGAGAGAACAAGCAGGAAGGATTTTTTGGGGGAGGACTTTGGCAAAGGGGCTGTGGGCAGGTGTGAGAGCAAGGTCAGACTGCCAACCAGGGCGATGGCACCTGGGAAGCAGGACCTTCCAGGGTTTCAAGGGTTTGGGACAAGGTCAGACCTGAATGGGCAGGAGATAGGCCAGAAGTGGGTAGTTGATTAGGGGTCAGGGCCACCTGATAGGCCAGAAGTGGGTAGTTGATTAGGGGTCAGGGCCACATGATAGGCTGGAAGTGGGAAATCAGAGGCGGGGCCACTGATGGCGGGAATGAGAATGTGATCAGGGCCCGGGCCAGGTGGTGGCCCTAAGTGGGCACCTGATCAGGGGCTGTGCCAGGTGATCATTTAGAGTGGGGCTGAGTTCCCATCTGATGTCTGCATCCGTCTGTTAAGCAGTCAACACGGTTCCCCTCCCAGACTGGTTTGAGGACCCTGGGGTTGCAGGCAAGTCCTGGGGTCGGTGACAGGCAGGGGCCCAGGCTTAGCGGATCCCTGAAGCTGCTGTGGAGCTCTGAGTGTGCAGGGCGCCAAGTGGGTTCTCCAGGGGATTAAATAATGCACATTTAAACAATGCAAACCGTGGCGAAAGTGAACAGTTACCATCTCGTCTCCCCACACTCACACAGAAGTACTGGGGCCAGTGAGGCCTGGTATGCGAGGTTTCAGGATTCCCAGTCACACCCTCTCGAAGCCTTTCCCAGTCCCCACGCCTGCGGTGACAGGGCCGTGGGCGCAGTCCAGTTTGCCAAACCATTTGGATTCACGCCAAGTGTTCAGTCTCCGCGGGTTCTGGTTTCTGAGCTCCCCGCTCCCCTGTACCTCTTTTTTTTTTTTTTTTTTAATATATATTTTATTGATTTTCCACAGAGAGGAAGGGAGAGGGACAGAGAGTTAGAAACATCGATGAGAGAGAATCATCGATCGGCTGCCTCTTGCACGCTCTCTACTGGGGATGTGCCCGCAACCAAGGCACATGCCCTTGACCGGAATCGAACCTGGGACCTTTCCGTCCGCAGACCCAGGCTCTATCCACTGAGCTCATCTGCACCTCTTCCCAGTACCTCCCAGCAGTGCCTCCCACAGACGAATGCGTGTTTTGGAGCCAGAGGACTTTGCCCACAGTTGGAGAGAGGAAACGCCCCCTCCTCCCCCTCACCGTCCCACCTCCCGCCCCAATGCTGGGGTCCCGTGTTACTGCAAATGTAAAAGAGAGGGGACAAGACGCTCTTTAGTTGAGCCACGTGCATTTTTCCTTCCCTTCTCAATCCCACTTTTATATTCTTGCGGTTTCGCACGCAGAGCACTATCGGCGGTGGCGGGCCAAGGGGGGCCGGGGCTGCGGGCTGCGCGCGGGCGGCCCGGGGAGAAAGTGGGGCTGTCCGAGGGGTGCTGCCCCGCCCTGCCGCCCTCTGAGACAGGTAGCCGGGGTGTGCTGGGGGTCCTCTGCGCCCCCTCCGCAGCCGGAAGGGAAGGGCAAAGGGGTCCCGCTCCCTGGGTCCGGGGACCCCGCCCAGCTCGCTCCCACGGCGCCCCGCCCCGCGGGCTTGGCCGCACCCACTTCCCCGGGAGGCGCCCCAGACGCGGCTGGGCTGACGTCACAAGGCACCCCGCCCGGCGCCCCGCGGAGCGCGCCCCGTGTCGGACCCGCACCCAGGCGCGCCCCCGCGAGCCCGCCCCGCCCGCAGGCGCCGCTGGAGATGGCGAGTCCCGCGGCCCCGGAGCCCGCGGAGGAGGGATGCCCGGCTCGGGCTGCCGGGGAGCAGGAGCCGCCGCCCCGGGCCCCCCGCGGGGAGCGGGGGCAGGAGGCGCCGGAGGCAGGGGCGGCGGCGGCGGCCCCGGGGCGGCAGGTGCCGGAGGCGGCGGGCGAGGTGGCGGCCGCGGTGAGCTGGCTGCTGGGCGAGCCCGGGCTGTGGCTGGGCTGCTGCGCCCGGGAGCTCCTGAGCTGGCAGAGGCCGCTGCGCACCCTCCTGGGCTTCGCCGGGGCCAACCTGCTCTTCTGGTGAGACCTCGGGGTCCGGGCGGGTGTGGGTGCGGGGTTAGGGGACATCCGAGAGGGCAGCCCACGTTGGGGCGCTTGGGGTGGCGGTGATCGCTGGACATTGCGGAATGGGAAGTGCCAGCCTTGCCCCACTTTCTTGGTCACCTCTCTGAGCAGGTAGACACCCGTGGCCACTGCCCCAGATGCGCTGCCTGTAAACAGTGGTCATCGTGTGTGTGTGTGTGTGTGTGTGTGTGTGTGTGTGTGGTGTCCTGTCTCACGGGTCAGGTCGTTGGCTGACCCGCCTGCACCTGTACCATCTATAGGTGTGCCCAGCGAACTCCGTAACTCGGGCTTCTGCTTTCTAAAACTTGCAGGTTTTGACCTGTTCCCCCAAAGCATGCCCAAGCACTCGTGCTTGAACTTGTATTCGTTCTTGCACCCCCAGCAGGCATCTCTGGGCCAGCTTAGGTACATGCTCCAGACTGCCAGCTGAGATGGGCACTGAATGACGTGTTTTTCCCCTCCGGGAGGGTTGGGTATGCTGTCTTTGCTCCCGGATGAGAGAGCAGGAGGCAGCCAGATGGATGATAAACATCCTCAGCCCGGAGGTGTAGTCAGTATGGAAAACAATCATATATTTTTTTTAGGTGAAGTGCAGAGAGAACACACAGGAATGGCTATGACAAGCCCACCCGATCAACAGGTTTGTCCCTCCATATAGACAGACCCCATCACCGGCAAGGACAGGGGACTGTCTGGCTCCTTCCTTGAAGGACAGCCCCGTCATCTGATGGAGGGCGGAGAAAAGCCTTCTTTGTTTGCCACCCTGTCCTCATAACAAGCGTGACCCACACCCTGCAGATTATGCAGGGCTTAGGTAACAGATATCTTGTTATAGGGCATAGATTTCTTAACCTTAAAGTCACGAAGTAAATGCACAAGACATCCATACAGAGCCATCCATTTTCTATCTAGGTGAATCCAGCAACTCAGAGATGTTTTTCTTACAAATCTGTGCTAGTGCTGGCTTTCCCTAAAAAACTTGCTGTATCTTATCAGGGTCCTTGCATGTGAATTATCTTGACTTTGGGTCTCTTTGCTATCAACATTTCTAGAGGTTTTTTTTTTTTTCTTCTTCCAAATTTCTTTATGCTGTTGTGAAGTTATATGAGCACTCAAATAAGGAGAATATGTTATGCTAGATGGGTTGTGTCTTACTCATTTTTCCAAGGTGGGACCTATTTTGAAAATCATTTTTTCTTATTTTTAAATTTTATTTATTAAAAAAAATAGCTAATAGCCTTCTAGTTCAAAAGTTTGGAGGTACAAGAGGATAGACTTTTTTTTTTTAAAGTGTTAACTTCATTTTTTTTAAAAAATATATTTTTTATTGATTTTTTACAGAGAGGAAGAGAGATAGAGAGTTAGAAACATCAACGAGAGAGAATCATCGATCAGCTGCCTCTTGTACACCCCCCAACGGGGATGTGCCCGCAACCAAGGTACATGCCCTTGACCGGAATCGAACCTGGGACCCTTCAGTCCGCAGGCCAACGCTCTATCCACTGAGCCAAACCGGTTTCGGCGAGGATAAACATTTTGAAAATCTCTTTCCCATGCCTGTCTCTAGTTACCCGGTTTCCTCTCAGAGGCAACCAATGTTACCTGTTTCCTTGTATCTTTCCAGATAATGCATATTTCAGCAGATACACAATATTCTACCCACATTGAAGAATACTGCCTGTGCTATTTCTCTTAGTGTATCTTGGTGATCGCTTCCTTATTCTTTTTTCAGCTGAATTCCATTGTAAGGATGTCACTAATTATTTAACCTGTGTGCTACTGATGAACTAAGTTTGTTTCTAAACTTTTGCTATCTCAGTGGTACATGTAATGGCTTTGTACATGCACTATTTTGCATATATGCAAGTATTTCTGTAGGATAAATTCCCAGACGTGGAATCGTTGGATTAGAGGGGACAGGCACTTGTAATTTTGATGGATCTCACGAAATTATTAGGCTTCCTTGGAGTTCTACCAATTTATACCTCAACCAGCAATGCATATAACTGCTTGTTTCTCTATACCCTTGCCAACAGCATTCTATCAAACTTGTTGATCTTGCAAATTAGATGAAAAGGATATCCCACTATGGCCTTAATTTTTATTTCTCTGGGGTTGAGTATTTTTCCTATGTTCAAGGGTCATATTTTTTTTTCTTTGCATTATCTGTTTATAAGTAATTTTTATCCATATTTTTAGTTGAGCCATTGGTTTTTTTCCTATTGATTTGTAGGAATCCTTTTTATATTAAGGACTTTAGCCTAATTTCTGTAATATGAGTTGCAAACATTTTTCCCTATGATGTATTCTTAATAACCTCTATTTAAAGAATGACTTCTGCATAAACTAATTGAAGGCATATTTGACATTATTCGAGTGATGTCTTCTATCCATTTGGTTTTATGAGTTCTTTGGAGAGGCAAACAGTGACCAGGCCTTCAACCCATTTATGTCTTTGATCATCTCTTTCATTTCTTTCCAGTTTGCAGTGTCTACATTCCATGCATGTATTTTCTTTAATAGAAAAATAATAGTACCACTTTTTAAATTCTGAAATGCTTATTATCATAATTGGAATTTCTGACTCATTAATTTCATTAAAATTTTGGACTTTTCTCCTTTGTTGTTTCTGGGGTTAAACAGTTTTTGAGGACATCATTTCCTTTAAATAGTGTATTTTTTGTTGTTGTTGATAATTCTCACTTGAGAATATTTTTTCATTGATTTTTAGAAAGGATGTAAGGGAGGGGGAAGAGATACAGAAAGAGAGAAGAGGAGCCCTAACCCATTTGGCTGCATGGACAGAGCATCGGCTTTCAGACTGAAAGCTCCCAGGTTCCATTCCAGTCAAGGGCATGCACCTTGGTTGTTCACACATCCCCAGTGGGAGGCGTGCAGGAGGCAGCTGATTGATGTTTCTCTCTCATTGATTTTTCTAACTATCCCTCTCCCTTCCTCTCTGTAAAAAATAAATTAAAAAATATTTTAATAAAAGAGAGAGGGGGGGGAGGGAAACATAGATGTGAGAGAGACATATTGATTGGTTGCCTCTCACCCAAGTTCCAACCAGAGCCGGGGATTGAACCTGCAATCTAGGCACATGCTTTTGACTGAAATTGAACCCAGGATCCTTCAGTCCTCAGGCTGATGCTTTATCCACGGAGCCAAAGCAGTTAGGGCATAAGTAGTGTACTTCTTATTAAATGATCTTAAATGATGATGTTAAAACATCCTGTGTCCCTGTCACTCTAAAGCTCCATATTTTTAATGAGAAAAACAAAAAGATCAAGGTTAGAAATATGAGGACCCCACATCTTATCTTAAGCAAGACTGATGATGTTTGTACTTTAATTAGTATTTAATCTTTGTGGAGACTAATTTCAAACATATATTTTTGAATGATTTAATACCTGGTACCAGCAGTAGCTTTCAGGATTTTGGGTTCAAGTTCAAAAGCTCTAACATATATTGCCTGCCCATTATCTGCAAGATTTTAGCACTATGAACTACAAAAACCAACATCGAGGTATGCCTTAACAAATAGCTCTAACTCAAAGCTGTGTGAAGCAAGTGTGTTAGAAGAGTCAGAGCAACTCCCAGCTGGTATGGCTTAGTGGTTGAGCATCAACCTTTGAACCAGGAGGTCACGGTTTGATTCCTGCTGGATACATGCCCGGGTTGTGGGCTTGATCTCTTGTGTAGGGCATTAGACAGCCAATCAATGATTCTCTCTTATCATTGATGTTTCTCTCTCTCTCGCCCTCTCCCTTGCTCTCTGAAATAAATACAAATATATTTTTAAAAAACAGAGTCAGAGAAAGGGTAGGTTATCCTGATGCAGCTTCAGGGGAGTAGTGGCATTGTGGACAGAAGAGGTTGTGGGGTCTTGGACCAGATCCTGATGGACAGGAATGCTTTGGGTAGATCTAGTACATGGTCAGCAGCCTTCCAGCCCTTAGGAGCTGTACCTGATATTTCAATCAGTATTGCCAAACTGATGTAATGGCACACGGATTGGTAGAGAAAAGTGGGGAAAATGAGACCGGCTAGGTGTTTTGGAAACACATTTTGGGGCAATGGTTTCCTTGAGTGTCATGTTATGTGTATGGACTTGTCTTTTCTTTAGGCAATGGGGATAAAACAAAAGCCACCTCATTAATGTACCCATGAATATTATAATGGGTAAGTAAATCATAGTCCATTTATTCCTGCCATCCCCCAAAATACTATATAACAAAGAAAATAAGTTACAGCGATAGGCAACAACATGGGTGAAGTTTAAAAATGTCTTTTTGGGCAGAGAAAGCACACGGTCATATGTGCAGAATGATTCATTTTTTTTTAAAGTTTCAAATTGTGCAAAGCTGAACAGTATTGATTGAGGATATACACATAGGAGATAAGAAAGACATTCTTATTCCTGAAATCAAGAGAGCGGTTGTCCCTGGGAGGAGTGAGAAGGCGTGATCACAGAGGGACATATGGAAGGTTCTGGGGTACAGGCAGTGTTGTATTTTCTATCTTGGGTTGCGGGTACATAGTGTTCAAGTTATAAGTATTTTATAACTGTATATGTATGTACTTACCTATCATTTATGTACTTTATGGAAAATACTAACGTATTAAATTATGCTAAGAAACAGTATTCATTCAGAGCTCCGAGGAGCTTGATCCAATGCAGACCACATATAGTATTATATTTGCTTCAAGAACAACATTTCCACAATAAATGGGGTATTTCTTAAAAGTAGTCAGAGAGCTGTGTCTCCCTTATTGTGTCCATGAGGGACATGTTTTTAAATTCTTTCTCTTAAAAAATTTAAATTTTACTTTTTTTTTTTTTTTTTTTTTTAAAGCTAATACCGCCTCACAGTTCAAAAGTTTAAAAGTACAAAGGGGCCAACACTTTGAAGATCTCTTTCCCACGCCTGCCCCTGGCTACGGTTTCTTCCCAG